AGACACAGACAGATAGACGACTACATCCCCAACCCCCACAACTTAGAAGGTAACAATCTGGCTCACAACGCTCCACAGGTCCACTACTTAGGAAACTTAAACTAGTCTGAAAGTTTAGAACTTAGGATATCCTAAATTTGAATTGTAATTCAGTTCCCAAAGCATTGTAATTTATTTCTCAAATTTTTGATATCATACTGTATCTTAATTTTTAACTTTCATTAAAGCTACATGAAAGCTTTTTTCTAACAACATTTTATGGGCAGTAGCTCAGGAGTCACTGGCCCACCTCTAGGTGTTTCTTTTCCTGGTGATAGAGATCCACGAGTTTCTTACACACGTCACACCACTTCTGTCTGTCAACACTTAGGTTCAGAGAAAAGGAAAAAAATTTTAATTTGATAGCAGAAACCAAAGACTTAAAAGACTGAATCAATTGATACTACAGTATTATTTTATACAACAAGCCTAAAGATCATCTTTCATTATCTTGACCATAAATTTTAAAAATTCCAAATTGAGTCAATCATCTTAATAGTCTTTTCAGTCTATTTCAATCACAAAAAAAATGTGTGACAAACTTCTGGAAGAAAATTGTTTCTGAATTCTCAGTAAATGTTTATAGTCCTTCTATCTCTGTGGTGGTTATTCCTGGTTGTCAAGTTAACTACATCTGGAATTAACTAAAGCCCACGTTACTAGGTACAGCTGGGAGGGATTTTTCTTGACTGAATCATTTGAGGTGGGAAGAGCCAACTTAAAATCTGGACCACATCTTCAGGTGGCAGTCAGCATAAAGGGCTTAAAAGAAGAAAGCTGCTCTTGTCTGCTTTCCCTCCACAAGTCCTTTCCTTCATTGGCAGTAGAGCCTACTTCTTTGAAATTCTTGAGTTTGCTAAAGACCATTTGAGACATCCAGCCTCAAGGACCAAAGAATTATTGGATTCATGGACTTTCCACTGTTGGAGCATAGCCTGTCAGCCACTCTAATAAATGTATCTAGATATGTAGATTCATTCTACCACTTTTCTTACTCTAGAGAGGCCTATCTAACACACTTCAATGAATAGAACTATTCTAACCCAAACTTGTAAAGAAACTAGCCTTTCCCCACATATTCCTACCTTTCATAGAGATCCAACAGCTTTTGGTAAACACCAGGTAAATCATCCTTAGCATTTATGTGATTACACTTCTCATACAAACTTGCTAGCCCCTAAAACAGGAAGTGGTAATGATTATTCTTAGCAAAATCTCATACGTCACAAAATTCATTTATTGTGTGAAATAATGTAGTAACATCTACAAATTAGCATAGTTTACAGATGAAATGTGTGTGGAATTAGCCTCTAAGTAAACTAAAGGTGGTAAGGAGACTTTATAGTATATTTAAAAATAATCTACTAGGTAGGAAGTTAAATAGTGACAAACAGTATCTTTGTCACCTAAACCTCTAACTTTTAATTTAGAAAATTTGATTTTGTTCATGAGACAGATTTAAGTACTTATTTTAACACTGGAACCTACATTTTGAAAAATGTAAAACAAGCGCTTGCCCTATATTACAAGAAAGAAACCATGTCTCCATACCTGCCACGCGAGTATCTGCTCTGGCTCTAGTTCAGCAGCTTTCTTATAGGCACCCTGGGCCTGGTCAGGCTGTTCTAGTTCAGCTGCAGCAACACCAATAAAAACCCAGGCATTATAGTTATTTTTCTCTTGTTTTAACACTGTCTGATTAAAAAAATTAAGAGTAAGTCATTACATTTTGGAAACTAGTTAACAAACAACAAAACAATAGTCTGTTATGAACTGGGACACGAGATCTGGCACCAACAGAGCCATCTTAGAATCTAGCCAGGTACTGTAAATGAAAAACTATAAAGGGTTTGGAAAGTGAGGTGTTTTTATGTAAAGTGCCCAAGGGATCTTGATACACACATCAAATGCCTCGCTCACCCACGAGAACAGTAATGCCCAGCCCCTTTCCTGTCTCCACAGCACCTCATCCTACACCAATATTTTATTTTCCATAATAATATTTTCCCATATTAAAGATTAATTCTTCATGGCTCTTATAAGTCAATTCACCCTAATGTCAATATAGCAAGCATGTTCAAATATACAATGGTAGTAAATGTTTAAATAACAGCAGCCATCTAGAACAAAGTATATAGAGATGATGCTTTCAGAAATAAAAGTACCTGCTAAAGTAAAGAGTTTAAGTCGACAATTTATATGTTCTAGAGGAAAAAAAAAAAAAAAAGAACCAGGAGCCTTTCAAGGTTTTTCATATTCTAGGGAAAATCACCTTTCTAAGAGCTGAACCTCTACAGTTGGGCTTATGTGCATTTACACAGCTGCGCAGTCTGTCACCAGTGTACAAGCTGCACTCTATCCAACAATGCTGCCTCCTACAAAACTCAACCAGGTGTCTGCCAAAGTGAAACCTAACACCAGGCCTTGTTTCGCTCATGTTCTGAACACTAAGTACAACTGGTGGCATATAACTGCTTATCAACTGCCACAGCTACATGTCACCTACCAACCACTAATTACTGTCTGACTATAACGATCAGAGCTTCAGTATCTGAGATACATTTTAAAGGAAATAATCACATACAAAAGAAATGTGGTGAAAACAGAAAAGTCTGAGAGAACACAGAGAGAAAAGTACCTAACTCTATGTACACAATCTGGAGCTAGCTTCCCCAAAGGAATACTTATGCCATACTGCAAAGCTCTATGAGACAGAACCACAGCAAATACACTCTGGGGTAGTTTTTCTTTAGTATCAACCAATTCTGGGTTACCACAGATAAGAGACATCTGCCATTGCTTTGTTCTCCACAATAAATTATAAGCTACCTGATGAAATTCATGTAAAATTTTACAAATACCTACAGAAAGATACCCATGCTAAGTAAGGCAACAGGAATATGGGCCAGCCAAATGGCTCAGTGGGCTACCCAGGCTTATGGAATTCAGTTCAGTCCCTGAAACTCAACACAAAGGTAGTGGCTCCACAAAGTTGTTCTCCAATCTCCACATGTGTATGCCCCATACCATGCACACATACATCACACACAGTAATAATAATAATAGTAACAGTAATAACTATGTGGACACACAAGCATATGAGCATTACCAGATAAGCTCCATGCTGGAGGAAATGGTTCCTCTCATCTCACTCCACACATCCTGCATCCTCCATCTGAACAAACTGTTCATCTTTTGTATCAGATTAGTACCATCATGGCTTCATATGTCTACTAATCTCAGTCATGAATATATTTTATGAATAGGTCTCTTACATTCAGAGAGGCTGGTACCTTGGCTGAACATCACAGACAAGCAAATAATAAACCCTGAGGCCACTAAAGAATTAGAATCAAATCAGGTGATGCACACTAAGTATCTCAGCACTCGGGTGGCAGAGGCAGGTGGATCTCTGTGAGGTCAAGGCCAGTCCGGTCTACAAAGAGAGTTCCAAGGGCAGACAGGCCTACACAGAGAGACCCTGTCTCAAAAAAAACAAAACTAAACAAAGCAAAACAAAACAAAAATCCTGCTGTGTACTTAGCCTGTTTGTTACAAACGACCTTACCATGTTACACAGCTTTAATTTTAAATAGCATATTCTTTCACACTCCTGATTCAAAGCGTAATGCATGTTTGTCTATATGTGTGCTATGATAAACATGTGCTGAAAACAGCAGACAGGTCAAAAGTGTCCTTAAACAAATACCCGCCATAAGCACTGGAAGTAACGTGGATGTAAGTAGCAAGCCTGTTGAGGCTGCACTGTCACGTTGGCTTTTCTGAGTGCTCTGGACCAGTGAAGTTCAGTCCCTTGCAAAACTGTTAACGAATGCCTTCCCTTTGTGATGCTTTCTATACTGATCAATAAGGCTTAGCAAAAGCCCTTTGTGAGGCACAAACTCACAAGACATTCAGGCAGGCACAGACTGAGACTCATACATCAGGCAACTCCAGAACTATAAACTACAGACAGATGGGTCACAGGGAGAAGCAAGGAGTCAAAATTGGGCTTGTTCTTGGCCAAAGTACTCGAAGAGGAAATGCTTTGATTTCTTCCTATTAAGTGCGCCAGTGTGCTCTGGTGCCTCTGAGGGAATCTCTAATGTGTCTGACACACCAACCCAACCAATCAGTTATTGTAATGGTCTCATTGTAACAGCTCTGGACCTCAGACTCTCTCCTTTCTACTCCTGTGGCTTCATTCTTCCTTATGATCCATCACTGCCACACCTCCTCCAGCCTCCCACTCCTGCCTCTTTTGCCTCTCTCTCCATCACTCTTAGCATCCATAACTGAACTCCATCAGTCACAGATTTCACTCAACATGAATCTTCCAATCTTCAAATGAGCCCTTATGTCACCAAAAAATAGAAGCCATCATAGAAAAAGGCTCTCATTTTCCCAATGCAAAATCGAGCCTTGTATGTATCTGCACCTATCTTTTTCCTGCTAAAACAGAAAAGGAACTAAAGGCCTCCTCTAATTATCTGGCTGCATCTGTCACCTCTCTAAGGACTTCTTGTCTACCGCCATCCTCTCTCTAGCACAGTCAATATCTTTTTAACAGGAACATTCCCACCAGCAAACAAGAAAGCTTTAGAATCTTGATTCTTCTACCCACTGGTCAAATAGAATTTAGTATGTCAAATACCTTAAAATAATGAAAATGTTGAGTAGGCAAGGTGGCCCAGAGGTAATGGTTCCTGCCATCAAATCTAATGATTTGAGTTCAAGCCCCAGAACCCACAGGATAGAAGGAGAGAAGTGATTCCTACAACTTGTCCTCTGACCTCCACAAGCACAATCCATATAACAGACACATTTTAAAATCTAGTACAAGCATAATAATAGTAACAATAATAATAATGATAACAATGCTCAAGTATAGTGGCATTCCATAATGCAAGGCACTTATGATACTTCTGCCTTTGAAAACAGTGCTTTGATAATTTATCAATCAAGAATATTATGTGCAGCAATAGAAGCCTACCCCACTGAGAAGGAGAGATGAGTCCAACTGTTCTATAGGTTCTATCACTTGACTGAATGTGGACAATAAAAGACTTACACCTACAAACAACCCATAAATTGGTAATATATTTGACTATCCAAGAAACAACTACCCTTTACCTTGCAATGTTTCAAAGCTTCTTTGTACTCTTTGTTTCTGATTGCATCTCTTGCACTTTTTAGAGCAGTCTTCACTTCTTTGCTGGACATTCTATCAAGACAAGAAGCTGTAGTGAATCTACAAGAATATCTCCCTAATGATGAGAGTCTCAGTAAACTTAACCATCTGAAAAAGAAAAATCTAATTCCTTCTCTCTAGAGTATGTTTTCCCTCCTGCTTCACACACAGTTCATTCCCTCGATTCTACAGATTTCTATTCAAATGTCTCCTCACATTGGACCACTCCCTGGACAAGCTTCCTAAGATTTTAATCCTTCCCTCTCCTACTTAAAATCACTAATATCCCCATATGTCCTTCCCTTGCTTTATTTGACTTCCAAGTACTAACACATCTCCTGTACCATACATTCTACATCTCTACTCTATTATGTGCATCCAAATCCCAGCGGAATCTAAGTTCTCTATAAATAGGGTTTTGTCTGTTTTTGTTTTTCTATCTCTAGGACTTAGCCTGACAAATGCAGGTGACCAATAAATACATGTTAAATGCAGATGTATTAGAATTATACTCACTCTCCACACATTTAGCTAAAATACAGATGATCTTATGAACCAAGACCTAGAATATATAGTAATCCCAAGCCAATTTTAAAAGCAAGCTCCCAGAGGCAGGCGGATTTCTGAGTTCAAGGCCAGCCTGGTCTACAAAGTGAGTTCCAGGACAGCCAGGACTACACAGAGAAACCCTGTCTCGAAAAACAAACAAACAAAAAAAAAGCAAGCTCCAATAAAACTCAAGGAGTTCAAGGTCTGTAGAGAGCCGTGAAAGGCAGAGACAGCGCTGGCAATCCGATGCTCTCACAAGTTCTATAATTTACTGCCTTTGTGTAAGGGGAAAGCGCGGAAAGTCACAGCCCATCCCGGGGCATATAGGATTTTATGGGCAATTAACCAACCAGATATGTACACGTCGCTCCAGGGGGTATTTAACCAGGAACCCTGAGTGATAGTCCTCCACACTTCCCAGGGCTCGGGTTCCCATTGCACGGGACATAAGTGTGGAGGGTCTCACAACTGTTTAACTGCCTTAAACGCCTTACTGGTAGAACGGTGGGCTTGATTGGCGAAATAACAGTTGGAAATTTGTTATAACAATATAATAAAGAAGGGGGAGATGTCGGGAGCCGCATTCGCCATTGCGAAATGGCGCCGGCTCCTTGAAGGATCCAAGCTGAATGTGCGCGAAAACTAGTATGTTAATTAGGCGTCACTTAAAGAGCCAATGAAAATTAATATGCTAATTAGGCATCACTTAAAGAGCCAATGAGCATGCGGCACGTCCTCCCAGGGCTCTATATAAGCCGTGGGTTCTGGGGCTTGAGGTCCTTCGCCACTACCATCCAAGAGAGCTGTAACACCATCTAAAAGAGCTGTAACAAGTAAACTGCTGTCAGAAGAATCCTGAGTGTGGCGTTCTCCTTATCAGCGAGGCGGCGCGTCACAAAGGTCAACCTCTGCTATATAGCAAGTTCAAAGCCAACCTTCCCTACGTGAAACTTTATACAGTAATTTAGATTTTTTTTAGTAATTTAAATTTTAAAAATTATTTTAAAAATTTTAAAGATATTTTACTTCATAGGCAAAGTACTTCATTTAATATTAAAGTATATTAATTTAATTTTGACTATAGTAACCCATGTTAATATTTTATAAGTTACCAACTTACTCAAACCAAATGCAATCACAATATCATTTTTTAATCATACAATTCTTAAAAGATAGAAACATTTGCATTTTTTGCTGACTTGACCTCTTTCTAATCTCATCATAAAGATAAAGCAAAGGTAAATACTAAGCAGCTACAGACTTCAGATATTCAGAGTAACAAACTACCACAGTATACTACCACAGTATTCAAATACAGTAAAGGAACAGAGTAACTACTCTCCCACAGTAAGTATACTAAAATATTTCACAAACATGGACACAATCCATTAACACAGTACATGAACACAGTAGATTAATGTTACACTAATATAGTACACAAAACTGTATATGAACACAGTACATTGACACTTTATGCAAACACAATACACTAACACAGTACACTAACACTGTACATACAATACATTAACACAATACACCAACACAGACATTAACAAAATACATTAATGCAGTACTCTAACAATGCACACCAACAAAGTACATTAACACTATACACAAACAGTACATTAATGCAGAATAATAACACTATACACAGACACAGTACACTAACACTATACACTAATATAGTACACTAACACTCTACACAAACACAGTACACTAACACTCTACACAAACACAGTACAGGAACATTTTACATTAACATAATACACTCATGCCATACGCTAACAGTATACACAAATACAGTACACTATTACAATACACTAACAGAGTACACTGATTTAATACACTAATACAACACACTAACATGTAACACTAATACAGAACACTAACATATTACACTAATATAATATACTAACATACTACACTAATGCACTACATTAACACAGTATACACTAACATGCTACATTGATGCAGTGCACTAACATGGTATACTAACACAGTATACTAAAACAATACACTAACAGAATACTACCCGTATATTCTATTCAAACTGAAATGCACAAGAATGAAACAAAAGAAATCTATGAAGTTAGAGAATTGAAGATAAGGTTGTTTTAACTTAAGAAAGCTAACATTCAGTATAACATAAAAATTATGACACTATAAAATCGGTTTATCTGTGATACATTCAGATTTCCCAAATATAATGTAACATATTGCTATAATAATTACTTAATTACATGTCGCATTATATCATCTTTGAATGACTACCTTACCTGAAAGTATCTTGATAGTGATTTAGAGGTGAACTAGAGAAAAAAATGCTTTTAGTTTACGAGTCTTGATGACAGCAGTTAACAAAGTTTAGCACTGATTTCACACTTTCCTTAAGCCACGACCCTTCTGCAAGGTAACCTGTAGACTAAAAAAAAAAAATTAGTGAGGATAACTGACTCAGATAAACAGATAGATCCAAGTAAAAATTAAAATAAAGGCCTTGGGTAGAAACATAAACAAGAAAGAAACAACAGAAAATCTCCACATGGGCTCTAAGCTCTCCAATGCGAGACAAAATACAAAAGGCCCTGTTTCTGTGAAGAATATAATCTAAATTAGGAGAAACATCTACGACTTCATATGAACCCTGAGAGAACCAAATGCCAGACTAACGGTGAAACAGGCAGGTACAGTAGGAGTTTAGAGAAGACACACTGTGTGAGGTGTTAAATAACTACTAAGAGAAGACAGGCTGCAACAATAGAGAAGAAAGAGCATCAATCCAGTCAGAGACATTGCATAAGGAGAAAGGAGAGAACAGGAGAACAAAAAAAGGAAGCAAAACAGAATGAGAAAATCACACTTAATAGACCACAGTAGATACACCAAATATCAGAAGCACCCTTTCTCCTGATAACAGCTGCTGTATTCAGTACCTTCCATATCTACCCACTTCCAAATGTAATTCTTTACACTGCAATGGAATCACCTATTCTCTTTCCGTTCCTTCTTTACTTAGCCATAGGATGCAGGCTCTCAGGTACTCCTTTCTTCTAACACATATGTACATGAATGCATATGTGTGCATGCATGTAAGTTTCAAACATAAAGTAATTTGTTCCTGAGAGTAACTATTTTTAAATAGGACAGGAAGAGGCCCATTAACTATTTTTTTTAAAAATAAACATTAGAAAGCTGATGGCCTGTGATTTAGCACACTGCTCCCCTCTTACCTGTCATCACGCCTGCATCTTCCTCCTGAACTGAATGGCAAGTTGTTCCTTATCCATTTTTCACCTAAATTGAGTAAGCACAAGCAGGAGATAGTGATATCCAACACACAAAGCTTTCCACATATTTTTTAAAATTAGATTCACCATGACCATAATTTAAAACATGAAAAATCAATCTATATGATTTTCAGTCTTTCATCTTTCAGAGAGCCACTAATCTTCATCTACAAATTTCTGAACTGGTTTATATCAAGACTTAAGCTGTTCCAATCATGTCTCCTTTTTACTTGCAAAATGTTACACAACCCTGAGTACAGAGGCATAGAAACAAAGGTGGGGAGGGAGTGGGAATTTTTGGTAGAAGAGGATCCTCACCATCAGTTACCCCCCCACACACACACTTCAATTAGCCTTCGATTTCCAAGGCATGAGTCTGTGAGTCCGAGTGTTTAGATTCACTTCTGATTTCAATCGCTAAGCGGCTACTTCATGTGTGTTTGTTTGTCTACTGTGTTCCTTGTGGTATTTGGTTTCTATCTGTACTGGACTTTGACAGATGCTATGGGACAGACTGATTCTCACCCTCTCATTTTAAGGAAGTTAGGGCCAGAGCTCACAACCTCTCGGTAGATGTGAGGAAAGGGAAAATGACCACTTACTGAAGCTTGAGGTGGCAAACTTTTGATGTCGGATGGCCACCAGACAGGGCCATTTCATCTCCCCATTATGTCAGCAGTGCCATCAGCTTTTGGGTTGGGAGGGGGACTTGTACAGGGCATGAGAAGTAGATGCACCGTGTCCCTTGACACTAGGCTGAAGAGATGGCTCAGAGGTTAAAAGCACTGACTTGTCTCCCAGAGGTACTGAGTTCAATTCCCAGCAATCACTTGGTGACTCCCTTTTTTTCTCAGGACAGACTCTGTGTTTTATGGCTCACACAGGCTTATCTCCCTTCCCCTCCCCCTCTGCTGAGTGCAGTGCACACTGGCATCCAGGGACCTTAGAAGCCCTAACCAGGGAGGTGAGTTCCCAGGGCTCTAAGCCTGGACAGACTGGACAGGAGAGGCCTCAAGTGGGCAGATGTATCTCACCAGAGCTTGGAACAGACTCCTGGTCACTTATTTTATTCAGTAAATGCCTACCCTTCTTGCCAGGAGAAGTGCTCGCTCCCTATCTGAACAAATGTGGTCTCTGAGTTGTAAAGAGCATCTTCACTGACACTATCCTGCGACACTCAGCCCACTGAGAAGCAACAACCACTCCCTTCCATGTTTCTTGGGCACTCAGTGCAGTCACCTATCCAAAGCTCTTAAAGGTTCCCTTCACCACAGACAGAAGCCAAGAAACTGGCTCCATGGGGAACCCACTCAGAATGGGACTTCAACATGAAGGAAGATAGATAGCATCTCCAGACTCACCACCAGGCTCTTTCAGCAGGTCTCAAGAGTAATTTGGCCAACGTTTAGATATGATATTAGACAAGAAACTGATAAAAGTCCAATGGCATTTCTTAAATGGGTCATGAAGGCTATATGTGTAAGGCTATGTAAGGCTATACACAAATGGACCCTGAGAAAACAGAGAGTTCTAGCATGGTAGCCCTGGCTTTCCTAGTTAGTTAGCGCTGGACATTAAGAAGTTACAGAGACATAAAAGATTTAAAAAAAAAAAAAGTCATTGAGGGATCTAATGGAAGTTACAGACACACACACACACACACACAGAGAGAGAGAGAGAGAGAGAGAGAGAGAGAGAGAGAGAGAGAGAGAGAGAGAAACAGAAAAGTACAGATTAAGACAGGAAAGATATTAAATAGAGATTTAGCTAGATTCTAGCCAACAAAGCCTCAGATCCAAGAGAAAAGAAATGCCAATCTTCAACAGATTGGAGGAAGAGTAGCTAAAGGGGTCTTGACCCAAACTCTAGGACCATGGAAGCGGCTGGAAACTTATGTATCAAAGAAACTGGACCCAATGACAACAGGACACCTTGCCTATATATTATTGTAGTCACAAGACTGTTGGTTAAAGATGCAGATAAATTAACTTTGGAACAGAAGGGGATCATGATTACCCCCATGCAATTGAAGGGGTACTCAAGCAGCCTTCTGATTGAGGCTCAGTAGTGTTCACATGATTCATTATCAGACTTTACTAATCAACCCTGGCTGAGTCCTTTTCCAGTCGCCTGTTTCCCTGAACCCTGCAACTCTCCTACCCCATCCTGACTTATACTGTCCACTCCATCAATGTGGTGAGGTTCTGGCCCAGGTACACAGTACCCAGCCTGTCTTGAGGGACTCTCCTCTGTTGAAGGCAGAGCAGACCTGGTTCACGGACAGAGCAGCTTCATCCATGCGGGTCAGAGGAAAGCAGGGCAGTGGTGACTACAGAAACGGAGGTAATCCAGACTCAGTCTCTTCCTCCAGGCACTTCAGCTCAAAGGGCCAAGCTAGTAACATTAACACAGGCCCTCGTCATGGATAAAGGACTGGCTGTTAACATCTATATATACAGCCAGCCAGCCAGCCAACCAGCCAGCCAGCCAGCCAACCAGCCAGCCAGCCAGATATGTATTTTCAACTGCTTATGTGCGTAGAGCCATTTACCAAAAACAAGAGCTCCTAACAGCAGAAGAACTGTCAAAAAATAAAGAGGAAATTGTACAGTGTCTTAAAGCCCTCTGGCTACTGAAAAAAAAAAAAAGAGAGAGAGAGATAATTATTCATTGCCCAGGGTACCAAAAAGAAACAGTACCAATGGCTAGGCTAGAGGTAACAACCTGGCTGACAAGGCTGCTAAGGAGATAGCCTTACAGGAAACAGCCATTTCTAGACTGGCCACTGTTCTACCTGAACCACCCAGAACAACTGATACACACAGAAGAAAAAATTAAATGGGCTAATGGAGATCAACTAAAGGTAAGCTAGCATTACCTACCTCTTCAACAAGAACCATTCTCAGGAAGATCCACAGAGTCACATGGGAGTGAGATGAATGGCAGATGCAGTCGAGACAATCTAAGGTGACTTTCAAAGACATACAGGGCACTCTTGAGGATACAGTGACAAGCTATAAAGCTTGCCAACTGACCAATACTCCCAGCAACCCCAAACATCCAGGTTCCTGACTGTGAGATAAGAGGCTGGAGGCCTAGTGGGAAAGTTAATTTTACAGAGGTCAAGTGGAGAAGATATGGCTACAAGTATCTGCTAGTATTTGTGGTCACATTCTCCAGATAGACAGAGGAATTCCCAACTAAGGCTGAGACAACAAAGGTAGTGGCCAAGAAACTGCTGGAGGATATCTTACCCAGATACAGATTTCCTCATTTGATAGGGTCAGACAATGGAACAACATTTGTGTCCAAGGTAAGTCAGGATGTAGCAAAATTCATGGGGGCAGACTGAAAATTACATTATTTATACATACTGACCCCAAAGTTCAGGGCAGGTAAAAAAAAAAAATAGATAAAATGTTAAAAGAGACTTAATAAATTACCCTTGGACACTGGTGGGGACTGGATGATGCTCCTTCTCTTTGCCTTATATCAGGTAAGGAATTCTCCTTGTCAGATAAGACCCTTTGATTGTATATGGTAGCCCAGCCACCACTGTACCCAGCCTACAGTTGGCAGCCACTGCAGAACTAGAACATGATGATTTCATATTGAAAGTCAGAGCTACCCAATGGTCTAAATTATGTGCCCTCTATAAAGCAGGCCTGGTTCCAGAACCGCACAAATCAAGGAGAATGGGTCTCTGTGAGATTTCGCCAAGGCATGTTTAAACCCAGGTAAAAAGGACCTTACATCACCCTGTGTCACCCACCAAATGCCATCAAAATAGATAAAATCACTACCTGGGTACACTACATTCATGCCAGACCTGCCATTTCACTCTCCCCAAAAGACTACCTGACTCCAGCTGTACTGAAATAGAGGGTTCAAAAGGACAGCAATCCCCTCAAGATAATGTTGACTCAGTCTAAGTCCTGAGTCTGTTGTCCAGCTAACTATATGTACTGTGTGTATTACATCACCCCCTTTATGAAGACATTGGGTTAAGAACTGAATATGATGTTTCTGAAAGGGACTCTACCTGTAGATGGTCACAAAAAAGTCCAGCTCTAGCCTTCCAGACTATATCCGGACAGGTATCTGACTGGAAAAGTCCCCTCATCACATCACCGCCTCTGCAATCACGTCATTCCCATAGTGCATTCCAAATGGATTGTTCTCACAGAACAGGCACAGTGGGCCTGTTCAACAGCACTGGTCCCTTGCATGAATGGGGCGCTTCTTAATTCTTCTACTCCAGATGGGTTCTATATTTTGGTTCAATTAGTGCCCCACATAACCTATTATTCAGAGAAAATGGTATTGAGAGCCTTAGTAAGACAAACTGAGAGAGACCTTATGAGATAAAAGAGAAAACTTATCTCTTTGACTTTAACACTAATTCTAGGGGCAGGGCTAGCCGGGGCCAGCACTGGGATAGCTGTGCTAACATTACAGGAAAAAAGTTATAACAGTTTAAAGACAGACATAGATGAAGACATCTAACAATGTAGATTCTCTTGCTGAAGTGGTGTTTATAAAAGAGGCAGAGATTAGACTTAGTCTTCCTACAACAAGGAGGGCTACATGGCACCTTACATGAGAAATGATGCTTTTATGATAGCCATTGTAGTCATCCATAAGTCATCAACTAAGGTCAGGGAAAGCCTGGACAGGTGCCAGAGAAAATTAAAAAAAAGATCTAAAAGTTGATACCTTTCTCTGTTTGATTCCTTCTTTTTTTTTTGACCAGGCTGGCCTCGAACTCAGAAATCCACCTGCCTCTGCCTCCCAAGTGCTGGGATTAAGGTAGCGAGCGCCACCACCGCCCGGCTGGTTAACAACTCTTATTTCCACCTTCATGAGACCACTAGTTATTCTTTTACTTCTCCTTGCCTTTACATCATGTATCATAAACAAGCTTTTACAATATATTAAAAGGCTGGGGATGACTCAATTAATGATAATGAGATCTCACTATCAACAAATTAACACAAATAATCCGGA